CTCTCTCTCTCTCTCTCTCTCTCTCTCTCTCTCTCTCTCTCTCTCTCTGTGTGTTTGTCTCTATCTGTTTCTTTGTCTCTCCCTCTCTCTCCCTTTCTCTTCCCAACATCCCCCCCCCTCCACAGACACACACAAACAAGACTGTGCCCACTCACCTGCTGAGCTGTAAAATACGAGTCCAGTACCAGGACAGACAGCAGGTCCAGCTTCCACCCATCTGTGACCGCGTGCACATGACTGCCACCGACGCCGCACGACGCGTTTCGCCGCGCCGCCCCTGAGGGCACCACCACGGCGACGGTTCCCCTGGGCGCACCCGCAAACGCCGGCCGCTGCCTGCCCTCTCCGCGGTCGCCGCCGCCGCGCCCAGCCTGTGTCGCTGACAGCGCCTGGCGGCGCGGGGAGGCGGGGGCCGCGCACGGCGGCGGCGCGGACGCGGCGGGGCGCGGGGCCGGCCAGGCGCGGGGGAGGGAGGCGGTGGTGGCGGCGCTGGACCCCTCGTCAACCAGCGCCCAGCTCTGCGCCAGGTCAGCGGCGGCCTGCGCCAGCCGGGCCGGGTCCGTCATGGAAACCCAGAATGCCTCAAACTCCTGCAAACCGGCGGGTGTCACCATTGTTGCAGCAGCCATAGAGGATTGGAAAGTCGCCAACACCTGGACTGCATATCAATTGGTTGCTGGAGAATCTGCTTTCCCTGGCAGCCTGGTCCTGGGCGTGATTCTGTGACTGCAGCAACCCCGCGATACGGCTTGTGCCCCCTGCAACTTCGCATCAGTCACCCTCGGCTGCGCCGCGCCCACCTGGTGTGTGAGGGGCTCGCAGTCCAGCGAGGGCCGCTTGTCCGAGGCAAACTCAAGCTGCAGGACGCCCTTTGCCGGCAGCTGCTGAGGCGTCACCTGAGGAGGGAGACGAGCCGGGGGTAGGGCATGTGACCAGGTGACCCTTGCGGGGCAAAACATCTTGATGGGAAGGCAACGACAGCAGTCATGCAGCAGCGCAGTTTTGACGTTTCTTAATCTGCACGTGGCGCTCTGCAGCGCTGAATGTGGCCCACTCTCCCGAACCTACCCCCTTGATATTGATGGGCTTGCCGGCAATTGTTGGCCCCCGCCACGACTCAACCCCGTGCTCTGCCGCCAGCCTCAGAAGCTCAACCGCCACCTGCAGCGGTCGCACACAGTGCGCGCGGCGGTGTGAGCTGCCAACACCAACGAAGTGCAATTTTGCCGACCCATCTGTATCCTGATGGCTCGGAAAGATATTGAGTTGACGTTCCAGCATAGCGCTGCTGCTCCTGGCTCCCGGTTTGCCAGCCTATCAAGACAGGGAAACACAGCCTGCTGAGACAGGAACGCACAGCCTCCTGTCCCCGTGCGCCTGCCCACCTGCCGCTGCGCAGGTTCAGCCAAATCCAGGCGGTACACCCCGTTGGCGTCCCGAGGATTGAAGTCCGCCCCGCTCGTCGCAGACGGCGGCGAGGCGCTGCTAGGGGCCTCGCCTCCGCCGCCGCTGCCGCCGCTGCTAGCACTTGCACTGGCGCCGCCGCTGCCGCTGCCGACCACGCGCGACGGGAACCGCAAAAAGCCACAGCCGGCCAGGTCCACGGTGCGGTGGCGGCCGCCTTCATTTTCGGGGTTGGTTAAGGTTTCGCGGCGTCGACAATTGACGCCTCACTTGGATTGCAACTGTGCTGCGCCAACCAAGACGGTGTTGCTTGTGGCAGACAGCTCCAACGGCACGAAGCGTTTTTGTACGATCAGCACCGACGCAGCACCTCACCCGAGTGCACCGCGCGCAGCAGCTTGCGGGCGCCCGTGGCCCCCAGAGGGTTGTCTTGAAGCACGAGCCGCGACAGCCTGGGAGGGGGCCGATCCACAATGAAGGCGCGCCGACTGACGCAGCCGCTGCTGCAACAGCACGCGCTCGAGTTGGGTGTGGCAGAGCAAGCAGCAGGCGTGGTGCTTGCATCGGTGGGCGATTTTGTGGCACTGTCTGCTGGCGCCTTCAGGCCCCTGCCGATAAGAGGGCCCCCCTCACGTGCTGTTTGCGCCGAGCGTCTCCACCAGCACCGCGCACGTGGCAGGCGACACGCCGCAGCCCGACAGGTCCAGCAAATTGACGCTGGTGTTGGCCTCGAGGGCCTAGTCCAGGGCAGCATGGTGGGTTTGACAGGCGAGGCGATGCATTGTGCAGGCAGGGTTGGTGGGTCGACTGGACGTAGCAGTTGTAGTGGTTTGCAGGCCAGCCGTCGTTTCGAGGCAGGCCAAGGAAACACTGGCTTGAGGTGCGTTGGCGGGAGCGTCCAAAGCGCTGTTGCGGAGCAGAAAATGTTCGAGGGGCAGCTGGGAGGGCTGCTCAGTGGCCATCACTGGACATGGGGGGAACCCCGGGGATGGAGAAGCACGGGTGGTGGACATTCGGCGCAGCCCCCGGGTGCCCAGGGGTCCGACGCACCAGCAAGCATGCACAAGCTCAAAATGCGCACTGCTCGGCGGCCGTGCCTTGCAAACCTTGCCCCACGACCGCCAAAGGCCGCCCTGAACTGCGGCGCATGTCGCCCCCCACCCCCCAGCACACACCTTGGCGATGTGTGCCGCGCCGGTGTCCGTGACGCCGCTCCAGGCAAGGTGCAGCTGCTCCAGCGTGGAGCACAGCCTCAGCCCCTGCGCCAGCGCCCGCGCCGTCCGCAGCCCCAGGCTGTTCCAGCCAAGGCGCAGAACGCGCAGCTGCCTGCCGCAGGGTTTGGTGTATGTGTGTGTGTGTGGGGGGGGGGGGGAGCAAGAGCAAGAGGCGTCACGCCAAAAGATGCAAACGCCCATGCTTCAACACGGCGCGCCCGACGTCATCACCCAGCTGCACAGAAGCTGCGACAGGCGCAACCGCGACGCTCTCCCGCCGTGGGACCCTGGAGGGGTTGGGCCCCCTGTCTCCCCACCTGCCGCCCTCCAGCGCGGCCTGCAGCGAGGCGGCCGAGCGCTCCGCCAGGCCGCAGCCGCTGAGGTCCAGCAATTCCAGGGGGCAGTCACCGCTGGCCACCAGGCGGAACAGGGCCTGGCGAGCGAATGTATGAGCGTGC